CAACTAAGGAAGCAATTTTCTAGTTGGTGTCCTAAAAAATTGTAAGCTGTCAAGTGGTTAACTTGGCATAGGAATTGGTTTTGACATCCTTGGATTCACACAATACTGGGTGATATGGGTTAGATTTCAAGTAAATCCCAGTGGACTTTGTGTGTTCACATAATGGTTCTTTATGGATCTCTAACTGTCACTGTGCAGTAGGTATGTCTGACACATGCATGGATATTGTTTACAGATACCAACAATCTGATTTGGTGAAACTTGATATCCTCTTGAATGGACAACCGGTTGATGCCATGGCAACAATTGTTCATAATTTGAAGGCACAACGCATTGGACGTGAACTGGTGGAGAAGCTGAAGAAATTCATAGACAGGTTGGTTACTTTACATTTCAAATACTGCTTTCATGTTACACTTTCTTCCCATTACAGTGTTCTCACATGATCTCATTCAATTCAGGCAAATGTTTGAGATAATCATACAAGCTGCAATCGGATCAAAAGTTATTGCAAGAGAGACGTAAGTAATATTTCTTTACTCATTGATGTTTTCATTGGGTTCACAAGGTGGTCATTGCATGATGACGGAGTAGATAATGTAAATTGCAAGATTCAATTGATCATTCAAGCATAAGAAGTTTTCATTATTCATTGATTTGTTTTAGAATCTCGGCAATGAGAAAGAATGTTCTTGCAAAGTGCTATGGTGGAGATGTTACTCGGAAGAAGAAGCTTCTAGAGAAACAAAAAGAAGGAAAAAAGCGAATGAAGCGTGTTGGTTCTGTCGATATACCTCAGGAGGCTTTCCATCAACTACTGAAGGTTTCATAACGGTAGATGACTCAGAGGGCGTGGCCTTTTAAGCATGGGTGCTGTACTCTTAACAGTTCCCTCCCAATGTGGGGGCAACCAATTTCAATTTTCTGCTGTTGTTCAGCAACTCAATGTTGTACGGATACCCTAAAAAAAATTATATTTTTGTAATTGTTGCTTGGTCATAGTGATTAGTGAAGAAATTAACTGAAAATCATGAAATCATGATGGTTCGAGTAAAATTCAAAATTGTTTTGGATAATTCTGATTGTTTAAGAAAGCCCATGGTGTCTTTTATGCAACAAGATGTCAAGATCAAAATACTCGGCTGTTCATGAAAGGCATAAGATTACATTTTCACCGTCCGTGGTCTTCCTAATTTGCAAATTCTATGTAACGTTTCAAAGGGTCAGGAGTTTACCCTTCTATCTATCATGAATGTATCAACTTTTCTGTTCCCTACTTTCAGAAGCCAAAGTAGATGCACTGTTAAAGATAGAAAAAGGCAATGAAGATTGTGGTGAAGTTCCCTTTTGAGAACTTGAAGATGACAATCCATTGAAGTAGCTAGAACCACATCCTTTCCCATTCTGTGTGGACGCATTCTGAGCATTCATCTGCACCAAATTCTGCCCAAAACTCTCCAAAATCCCACTTGGGCTTCCTTGTTTTGCTGCATTGCTTCCTACCATTGATGAAATTGCAGCAGCTATCACTGATTGGAAACTCGGGTCAGATGCTAGTGCCTTGGTTAAGGTTTCTGTCAAAGATTGTTGAGAAGCAGAAGCCTGTTGTTGAGACTCTTTTCCAAGGTTTAAGGAAGTGGACCCCGTTTGAGTCTGATTGGAGGGCAGGGTACCAATAGAATTGTAACCATTGCCCCAAATTATTGGCATAACGTTGTTGGATTCTAAAGAAGAAAAGTTGAGATTCGTTGAAGGATATCCTGACTCGAAATTTGATGAGAAACAATTGAAATAATTTGATAGAGATGAAGGGGAAGAGGTGAGGTCTAGGGTAACTGTGGGGAAGAAATGTGATGAGGATGAAGGATTTGGCAAGTAAAATTGCTTTGTTCTTGTACTGTCATAGGAACTAAAGTTCAATCCATTTGCAGAGGTGGTTATGGTGACCGCGGAGCTGAGGCCAGGTTGAGATGTTGAAGAGCCTGACAACAGCATAGAAGCGGCAGCTGAGGTGGTGGAGGCCATGGCGGTGGCTGAAACCGGTAGTGGATGGTTGTGGGTTCCTTCATAAGTTGTGATCAAAATGGACATGTCCTCAACACATCTTTGCACCTAAAATTTGCACAAAAAAAGAATTAATTCCCAATAAACACTCAGATATCTAATCACTTTATACATATTATTTTCTTTAATTACTTTGGCAATTAAGCAAGGGTTACCTGTTTTCTTACAGGACACCCTGGTGCAATTGTGCAACGATAGTAAGCTCGCGGGCATGGATTTCCTTTTGCAACTTTCTGTCCATATTTCCTCCATTGGCATCCATCATTCATCTGTGCATAATATATCAGGAAACTGTTAGTGTTGTTATCTAAAATTGTCGACTATTTTGAAGAACAGTTTAGTTCGCCAGATTTCTCTTTAGAAACCTATAAAGAGTAATATTTAAAAGATTATGTTTCACCTAACTATAATTTTTCTCGTAAGAAATTAATTCCGAACAGATTGAAGAAGGTCAAGAATTTGTAGCTCAAATTAAATAAAGCTATGAATTGTATACTAACCGTAGGTGCATCACATCTAGCTCTCACGGAAACCCTAGCTCTCTTCACATGAGAAGCTTGTGCAACTTCTTCATCCCCATTTTTGGTAGTCTTTGGAATCTTGCTAGGAGGCCAAGCTTCTCCTGCATCCTCCTCTTTTCCTTCTTCCGCACTGTTCTCCGGGCTTGGGTTCGAGACAACTTCAGTTGATAACTGAAATTTAGAGTCCAACCCAAGAGTTGGGCTGGCCTTGAGCTGATGATGATCATCCTCTTTGGTGTTTCTGGACGCGGAATTGCTTGTTCTTCCATCCCTTTTGGGTTCAGTAGGAGTACTGCTTCTTCTTCCAAGAGAAAGAGAAACAAGTTCTGATTCTGGAGATTCATCATTCTGATCATGAGAAGGAAGCGAGTCTGTAGATGATCTATTTGAAGTTCCTTTTTGAAGGACGTCGAGGAATCGAAGCTGGAGAGACTTGTAATCCTTCTCGATCTGCTCTAACATCCTCTTTAATCTTTTATTTTCTTCCCTCACCTCCCCCATCTCTGCCTTCGCAGATTCAAGTTCAACCTCCTGAACATCCATAACATATAATTTCCACATGAAATAACTAACCAAATTCTAGAAGAATATACTGTAATAATGGTGTATACATCTAAAGATTTCACATAAATTTTGTGATGAATAGAAAAGAGAAATTCATCAGATACCTTTCTAGCCTCCTGGCTGTAACCTCCTTCAAGGGCAACAGATTTAGTCATCTTTTCCTGCTTAATACGAATTTCGGCCACCGGCATTTTGAAAGAACTCCGTTGTTTGAAAGACTATTCTAATTAGAACTACAGATCCTATTTGCAATCCTCGGTGATGAACATCTCCTCCCTTCTTATAATATAAGCCAAAACAGGCTTAAATTTTTTTATTTAAAAAAAATGATTTTTTTTTTTAAACGAATATGATCCCAGTAGTCATATGAACTGTCAGACTGTTATCTTCATCGCACAAAATGTCAACACCTCCAGCCAACACATCTCTCCCATGACTATTGTATTATCTTAAAATAAAAAAATAAAAAAATAAAATAAAAAAAAGAGTAGACTATTATGAACGGAAGAATTCAACTTCAACCCTCCAAGTTGGGACACGGATTAACAAAGAAATTAATATAAGAGAGAGCTAAATTTGCGGCCGCCCAAGGACCCCTTGATTTGTATAATATTATACATACTACATATAATTTGAAGTTTCCTGCGAAGAAAATTTCACAAGGCTAACGGTCAAAGCAAGCCAGCAAAACTATAGCTTCATTGATCTCTTATTTTGCCGGAAGGTGGCGGTGGAGTGTTGTTCTGGGGGTCATTTTATTCAACCTTGTGTGTTTAGGGTTCTCTTTGTCATTAAGCTCCATGGTCAATTACGCCTGTTTCACACAGCATGCATTTTATGAAACGCTGCATGTTGTCTTTGCCAATATTCACCTTTTTATTTCTTCACTTTGTCTTCTAGTTCAACTTGTTAAGCATGACGATTGATGACAAAAGACTCTGTTCATTTACAATTTGAGCATGATTGGTAAGTGTGTATTTTTTGGTAAGTTAATGATAATAAGAGAAAAGTAGAAATCATAATATTCTAATATTTTTCATGAAAATTTTCAAATACGTTTAATAAGTCTTTATTGTATATTAATTTATTAAGATATTTTAATTTTATTAGTATTATTTCTAATATTTTTATTGTCAATACATCATAATTTCCCTCAATTCCTAGTATAATAGTTACTATATATACAATTTTAAACTTGACACAGTAGCACAGAGTTTTTACCTACATAGTTTTGCTTACATATATCAATATTATTATAATATATTTGATTGTTACCAAATAATATTGTAATTTGTAAGAGAAAAGTTTCTTTAAACTTGAATTGACAGAAAAAAATGTTAATTTACACAATTACCATTCTTGATATATGTGCACATTGGTTTAGACTTGCATTTTTTTTTTTTTTTATCAATCTGAATTGCAAACCAGCCATTCAAATACCATGATCTACCTAACTATAGAGTTAATTGTTTTAGTTAAAATTAATTTATTTTTTGCCTAACTAAAAAATTAATTATTGACTTGCTCATATTATTACATTGAACAACTTTAGTCTACTATTATAGTAGTATTTTAATATATTAAAAAAGCATTATGTAATTTAATCTAATGTGAATTGTATAACTACAAATATTGATAAAAAAAATAATCTCTAAATATGATATTTTCTTATCTTATAATTAATAACTAATTTTTTACAGTTTAATTGAAGTCGGACTGCTTTAAAAAAAAAGTCATTCTCTTATAACCCCGGTCATAACCAAAAGTTGAAAAAAATGGATACTAGTCACCCTTTGAAGTAAAATGTACTCCTTAAAATAAAATATTAATCTTTCAAAACCCTAGCTCATCTTCCAACTACTACATGCCTCTTCCATCAATTTAGGCGATGTCTCCAAAACTTATATTAAACAATACACCCAGGTTCAAATGTTATGTACTTCGACGAAAGTATTAGGTTTTTTCTTTTTTCTTTTTTTCTTTTTCTGGGACTGTCCAAGTACATGCCGAAACCGTAATTTAGTTTATTTAACCTATAATTATAATCAAATTAGTTAACAATTTTAATATTTGAAGACAGTGCATGGATCTCGGGATCTGCATTCCCATGGAGACTATTACCATAATCAGCTTTGATCCACTCAAACTTCATCTAACATCATCCATTTGATATTAAAGTTTTTAATCTTAAAAAGAAAAAAAAAATTAAAGGTTTTTCTATGGGGGAATAGGATAAGGAGCAGTAAATGTCCCCATATATACGGTCTAACATGTAATTTAAATTGAAAGCTAAGATAGACGGAAAAGAAATATATTTTAAAAACAGTGAAAATTATCCTTTTATTGTGTACTACTAGTTAATTATCAAT